CATGAGAACCTAAATAACAAAATCTTAACAGATAAAAAATAATCCCCCACCCAACACCTCTTATCAACACGATGTCTAATTATTTAAAATCAATAAAAAATATAAAACGCATACCATCAATGTGGAGGGTACAAATGAGCTGCGGCAAGGAGGAACTGATGAAATCTTTTGTTTTCAGCCAGGTATGCCATCATAAATATTGCCCTGGCCAAATATCGGCGAAGTGGTAACTACTACTGCTGAAGCAGGACACTTTGGCTTTGGCCTCCCTTCATTTACACTCGATCGTATTGATATGTCCTTTACTTTTGGGGTAAACAAAATTGTATGAATGATTCACAGTTAAATGTTGATAGCCCTCTTTTTCTAAACAGTTGTATGCCTTCCAACAATCAAAGAGCTGAGAGTCACACGTCAGCACGGGTACGAGAAAAAATTTCCCACTCTTGCGTCATACCCCTCCAAAAACCCACTGACCTCCAATTACACGACCTACGTTATATTTCCATTTACCAAATTTAGATTCATCAATCTCAATAATTTCCCCTGACCCACCTATTTTGTCATATTGATTCTCAAAACTCCAATGAATTAGAACCTCCCAACAGAAGCTCGCCAATCGCAAATAAGTCTTGTTTGGGAAATTAAAATCACTCCGTGCAGATTCGTAAGAAAACCTCTCTCTCAGATATAAATTAACAAATTTTAAATTGGTTTCAAAATCGAGCTTACCATTATCAAACCAGGTGTTCTTAAAAAGTGATATCTTGAAATTGCACCTAACTTTTCGATTAATATTATTTTTTTTTTTGTGTGTACTTTGTCGCACAGGAATGAATATATATTTTTGGTCTAGCCGGCATTCATTTTCACATTTGGGGCACTGTAGTGACCCCAGGAGGAGACTATGTGATCGGCAAAGATCGAGCAAGAGGGTGGCCTCTTCATAATTTTGCCAGAATTGCCCGTACCAACCATAAAATATTTATTTAATAACACTGTATTTGGGAATTGGGATAAAAGCTACAAATTATATGTTTATAAAATGTCAGATTCATAAAATATTATTATTAAATAAATATTGAAAGTATTATAAAAACTTACCCCATGTCACACTGAGCACAAAAACTGCAGGTTGTTGAACGTAATTTACATTGTGTTTTGTTCCGACATGGGAGGCAAACAATGTAAGGAAGCAGTCCCATTGTTAGATTTTTAATAGTTAATCAAGGTTATCATAACGAAATTACTTCATAATATACCTACATTATATAAAATAAAATTGATAATGCTTAAGCATTAAATTAATAGAGGAAATGTTAGTAGAAATATGAATAAATAATAAATAATAGATTAAAATATAAGTAATCAGAAATAATTCCACATTGGTTGAAAGTGGTGCACAGAAAATGTTACCTTCATAGAAAATGCAGTTGCCTAGTCATGGCAACTTCAATTGCTATATTAGGCTGGTTTATTGGTCAATACATTTTTGGGGGGTTTGGAATGTAGTTTTGCTGAAAGGTGGGTTGAGTTCCTGTAGAGTTTTTGAAGACTGTAGAATTTAAAAGATGATTGTTACGTTCAAGGAGTTTCATTGGCTGAATTTTGCATTTTTTGTGCTGGTTTTATGCATTTTTGATCTTAATTATTCTTATTTAATCCTGTCATGATGGAAAAGACTTGCCATGAGTGTACAAACCTCTTTGAGTGTGATTTGACTCATTTGGCGCTTAGAAGGGGGCTATAGCATTATTCCCACCGATAAATAAATGTGGAATGTAATGTGCGTAAGCAGTGACTGGAAGAGTGTTAGCTCCAGGGAGGATACAATTTCCATGCTGCGCACCGTATTCTTGGACTACATAGAGAGTATGATATGGAGTCTGTGCAAGGAAAATAAGTAATTAACATCTGGATAAAACAAATCAAAAGACAAATATGGACATTAGAAAATGGTTGCTTAAGCAAAAAAAAAAAAAATTACACAAAATAACGTTTCAAAGGGGAGGCACAGAGTCTTGTCACCAATCATGGGTGATGCCGTTACTATCAGGAAAAAAAAACAAACTCCGTCAAATGAGCCAATGAAGTGGAAATAGTTGCAATAGTGCCACCTGCTACTTTGTCCACAACAGCCATATCCTGTATGTGTATGCCACCCTGTGTCATAAGGATTAAGAACTTTGGCTTTGATGTGTGTTGTGGACTTGAGCATGTAATGGTGATATGCAGCAGATATTTTTGTCATATTAACAGTAATGCCATACAAGAAAAAAATAGAATTTTTTTTTCAGATATATAATGTACAAAGTAAACTGTACATGAAATTAAATTGAGGACTTCCTGATAACAGTTGTCACATTTTATGATTGTCATGTGAATATTTTGTAGTTTTCCTTTTTCTGTCTCTAAATTGTTTTTTGTCACATTTTATTTTGTTTAATTATATGTTCTTTAAAAGGAGTTGGTCCATTACAACAAACTTTTTTTTATTCAAAGCCCTCCCTCTTTAAAGTCTCTTGTAAACAAGGTTCTCATGATATATTTCAATCTTTTTCAGGAGGAGGAGGAAGAGGAGGAGGAGGAGGACTTAATAGTAAGTTCAATTAATTTTGGTTGCTGTAATCTGGTTATTTCTGTACATTTATGAAGTACATGTAGTGGTCTCACTCTTCTTTGAATAATACCTCCTTCATTTACAGGACCCAATGGATGCTATTAAAGAAGCATGTACAAATACCAAACATTGTGCAGAACTTGGGGAAGCATATTCTAGCTGCAATGATCGAGTAGGTTCAAGATCAAAAACAGAAGAAACATGCTCTGAAGAACTATTTGACCTTCTACACTGTGTTGATCATTGTGTAAGTAACCTTTGTTTTAGAGTTGTTAGGGAAGAGAGGGAGAGATTTTGCATTGATTTCAGGTGATAAATATATTAGTGTCTAATGTAGAAGCAAGTTGAGGTAAATATAGGGGTGATTATTAACAGTGACTAGTTACAACCACATTTTGGCTTAAATATTTTTTTTATTCATGTGAATGCCTTTAATTCTGCTATGGATCTTTTCAAATATTTAATACTGATCTTTTGACTATTTCAGATGGCATCTAGTTTATTCCAGAAGCTGAAGTAAGCAAGGTCCCTTCATTTGAACATTTTTAATTTAAGAATATTATTTGTGTTTGAAGCACAGATAGAAACAAGATCACTGCCATGTGGCAAGTAAGAAGTCTAGTATCACACTGATGTCCTCACTAGAATGGACCAAATTGTGGAGTCTGATTTTATCCTGGCCTAGATAATGTATATGAATGTAAATAACCTTTGCTGCATAAATTATGTGAACCCTGTTGGGAATAAACATTTCATCTATGTTTTGGATATTATATATTACCCTTTCTATCTTTTTGAGGAAGTGCCTGAAAAGTTCATCAATCACAAGGAAATAGAAATGTTAGTAATTAATAATTGCATAACATTGGGAAATGAAACTGAAAAGAAAGAAAAAAAAAGAAAAAAAAAGTTTTGTTCCTGTTTTTGACAAAACAAATACAAATTTTATATTTTAATAAATTTTCAAAAAGAGCTAAAATGTAAGGCAGAATAATGGACAGTTTAATTTCTCACAATCTACAACACCTGAAACCAAAAGGTGAAAAAAATGCCAGATTTTAAGTTGGGGGCATAGATAATTAAGTACCAGGAGTCCTTGCACAATCACAAATTTGATTTATGGGCCTATAAATTTTTATCCAACTAGTACAGTTCATTTGAGTTATTTTCTGCACATAATGAAGAATAAGAATATACTGACAAAAGTAAGGTAAATGGTAACTTGAAAAGGTAAACACTGTACCCATAACTTGCTATGCTATTTACCCAACTTCTAGTATGAAAATATTGCTTAGGCTGGTTAGTTGAGATGAAGACCAAGATCCAAGGCAGGGGTAATCCCCATGTTGGCCCTCAGTCTTCATCTGAACACCCCTCCCTACAACCAGCATCGGATTGGGGAGAAGGTGTAGACAATAGTCTCATGTCCAACAGAATTTGCCTAGAGTACTGCTTGCTGTTCATAACCAAATGTGTGGATGTGGCTGCCATTTACCAGTCTAATTAATAAACGGAGTGCATTCATCCACAGACCCAAGTTGTTTGTGACAGGATAGTGTTCCTTAGAGGATATTTTCATACATAATCTGTTTTAGTATTTATTTTAATGTTAGTTATTTATTATGAATGTTTGAGGTATTTTGCACTACATATATCCATTTTTTCTTTTCTGAATGAGCATAAGGCTGTATGGGAAATTGTGTTCTCAACCATAAAGGGAAATCATATTTCATTACTAGTTAAGGCAGCAGTTTAGTTTTGCCAACCATCGCCTGGTTTACAGTAGTCACCCTTCTCAACATTTTGGCTGAAAGTCCATGCTACACATTAACCTTATTCTGATTATCATACAGACACTCATCTATCATCAGCAAGTAAATATTTAATTCAATAAATAGTCTTTTCAATGCAAGTATAGCATTATGTCAAAAGGGGTTTTGCATTAAGAATCATTAATTTGGAATATTAAAACTGTACCCACATGGAAGGAGTTTTAAAGTTTGTTCTACTGAGTCTGCTACTCTGGTGTTTGGAATAAAATTATGTATATAATGCTTAATCGTTCAAACATTTTATTTTATTAAAGAGAATGTCCCCTACAGAAATAAATGTGACCAGATTCATTTGGCAGACAAGCAGCATAGTAAATTGGAAAATATTTAATTTGCCTTTTTAATTAATGCTATTTCCATATTTACAACACATTATAATATGTATGAACTTCTTGTATATGAAAACCAGTAGACAGTATCTGAGCTAACACACCTATCAGAATCTGAAGGTATATTAAAATACAGCTTGATCAACTTTCTTTTATACAATATGTACAGGAAAAATTGCAGTGAGTCATTGTTCAGGTTGTAGTTGAATCTTGTTTTTAGAACTTCACCATAAGTTGTATACATTGCAAAATTACATGATACATATACTTGGAACTCAATATACAATAAGAAAACAAATAAATTACAATCAAAGCTCCTCTTTTCTTTTTTCTTTTCCCCTTAAAATTGCATTTTTAAACAAATCACAGTACAATTTTACAGCTGAAGGAGTGTCGTCATTTCCAGGGACAGGGTATGTGATAAGGTTTGGGTTACAATTCGTATCGACAATACCAACAGTAGGAATCAACATCTTTGCTGCATCTCTGACTGCAGTATGCTGAGTGAGGACATTGTTCAAGGTATTAATAAAGATTACAAGGTCTGGTAACCGAGTTTCACATCCAAACTGGATGGTTGAGTTCGTGAGGATTCCTCCTTGCCAAAATCTGGTGTGAGCATACTCGCCACAATCTTTGGCCGTGTTTTCTACCAGATGCTGGAAATAAATACCAATAAATTAGCTTACACTCCTGATAATTATTATAGGGCACCATGATGAAAGACATTGTTTTCCATTTTACAAGGGATATCACTTTAATCTATTAGACAGCTTATTAAGTGTCTGACAGCATGAAACTTCTTCAATCTGAAGTTTCTGCAAGTCCGATGTGTGCTGGTGCCTAAATAACTAAAGAGTGATCTTGAAATTCTGGTTATGGCTAGAATATTTTTTTAATTACATATTAAATTATGCAGTTGCAAGTTTAAAATGTTAGGTCTCTCAACTAAATTAACTATGATACATGGCTATTAAAATGTCATAATTTTTTTTATGTAAAACTATAAAGAGGCTAGACAACAAATTAGTTCAAAACATACCTGAAATTGTGGATTCCTACAGACAAAAAGTATGATTCCTCCACGGTAAGCTATGTGAGCTGTGAAGTTCAGAGCTTCACGTAAATGTTGCGATGTCTGGTCAAGATCTATGATGAGATGACCAAGGCGAGACCCAAAGATGAAGGGATGCATGCACGGATCAAGAGACCCCTCTTTGTGTCCTAGGTGAACTCGGGCTTTGAAAAGGTCTTCTACAGTAAATAAACTGGCAACTTTAAAATAATCTGGATACTTCAAAATTGCCTCATTTGTTCTTCTTGAACATCTGTTATATAAAAGAGTGAAGAGAAAAAGTAAGTAAAAATTAAGGGTAAGAACTATAACCCTGTCTACAAAAAATTATGTCCACATTATTATTGCCATAGTAATTTCAATCTATAGAGAAATTATCAGTTGGATCCTCACCTACCTGAGCCACTATCATTTTCCTTCTCCATCAGCTGTTGTTGGCTGAGTGCAGGTCTGGAGAGTGATGAGAGCTGGCATCTTTGAATGCCACGCAAAAGTCCGGCTGGAGACACAATTTCATGTTGTACATTAAGAAATCATTTAAAATCCTTACAAATGATATCTACCATTTTACATAAAAAAGCACTGAAAAAATGAGTAGATACAATTATCTCAACCTATAGATAATACTTTGATTTACAATGTAGTGACACAGATTGCTAAAAATCATTACTTTTCTAATCATACAAATGGATATACTTGTATATCTACATGACAACTTATAAAGTGATAATGGCAAATAAAAAACACATCAGTAAATATAGGTCAATATCAATACTGGTAACTGTACCAGCATTGATGTCCAATTTGGCAATAATATTTTCTTATCAAATTAATTTGCCAAAACAGTGAATTGGTCATTAAAAGGAAGATAATAATAATAATGATAATGAATAAATAAAGTCCTGAATAATGCAGTAAAAGAAATAAGAAAAAGTAATATAATCAACAACATTACTGCTCTGCCTGTATCTACAAACTAAACAAATAGGTATGCATTACAGATGGCAAAATTCAAAATGTATGAATTGACACAATGGATAGCAAATTAGCACTTGTCATTTTACTTTGATCTTTTTTTTTTATACAACCTTGCTGTTCTTCAGTCACTTTAAATGATGAATTACACAATGTATATTATAGTATTCCCCATTTAAAGATTTCACTACAATCCAATCCTACCTCTCTCCTTCCTTCTCCCACCTTACTCTTGCCATCCCTAAAACTTATGCATGACCACATCCTTAAAATAATTTGAAAAAGGTGCATGTCTATAAAATCCTTTTACTCACAATCATAACACTTGGACAACCTGTATACTCAACTACAAGGAAAATCAGACACAGGTAGATAGATATAGTATGTGTGTGTGGAGGGGTGGGTTGGTTCGTTGGGTCTGTAGGTAGTGTAAATGGTCTGTAAGAGTGAGTGAGTGAGTGTGTGTGAATTTCAGATTTACATAAAAGTAAAATCAGAGCTTGAAGAACTGATCACATACAATACATACATATCATTAACACACTAAAAAGTGACAATTCTACATACCAAAACCACAAATCTATTACCTACAGAGAATAAGCCACAGCACAAATACAAGTAATGGTGATATCCTATGGTGTGCCGCTTCAGAAGTCACTGAAACTACACTATCAAAATTATGTTTTTTCTGCTTCTGTTTCCTCTTATTTTTCTTTTTCCTGCGTCTCTTTGACTTTTCTGGTATATCAGGATCAGTTCTGTTTAACCAAATCAGTGTTACATTTCTTTCTTCTGAAACTGTATCACTAACACTTAGATTTGAATCATTACTGACTGCAGATGAAACATCTTGAGGTATCACATGTATTTTTGTTCTGGAACTTTTGTGGTCAAAAGTGCAGTCTTCTGCTGAATCGTAGTCTATGGTTTCATTGCTTTTGTCTCCTCGATTCTCCATATAAATGCATTGTGGAAATTGTATCATATCATTCAGAAAACAATTTATACAACTTACTGCAATTTCACTGATTCTGTACCATCCAGTGGTTTTCAAGATTGCTACAGTCAAAGGGTCAATAACAACAGTTCTCTAGACTCTAAGCTCCCAGGTGTCATTACAGAAAAAGCACCTGAAAAAAGCTCCGCTGGCCAGTGTATCCCTGTTCTAGTTGTGGCCAAAGCTACTCCTCCAGACGTGGTGAGAGGAGAGTCATTCCCATCAAGGGTATCATTTCTATCATACATGTCATATTCTTGCTCAGGTACAGAACCATCAGTATATTCAAAAGGTTCCTCTACACCAAAACTCTGGTTGTATGAGCTACAATCTACCGTCTGATTTAAGTATTCTTTAAGTCGCAATGCTGCTACTGTAAACTGTGGTGACTGAACAATGATCTCTTTCTCGCCTTAAAACCTTAAGGACATCTCTCCTTTTCCAACACAGGAGATATTGATTTTCAACCATTAATGGGCTAGACACATTCAAATTTTCCAATGAAGTATGTGGGTCTCTTTCTCCGTCACATTCTATGAATTCCATTATACTTCTATAATTGAAACCCAAAAGATGTATTACCTCATGGACAATTATCCGCTTCAACAACACGGGTGTCAGTTCATACAAGCGGTCTTTACATACTGTTACTGTTCCAGCTAAAGGCCGCCCACTCCTTTCACCACCAACCAGTGTTGTGCTAAAACGGCATGTTGATGAAACGGCAATGTGAATGGCTGCAGAATGTATCAGAACTGGACATTACATAGAGTATGAAGTTTGTGCCATTCCTGAAGCCCTTTCCTTCTGGTAGGGAGTCAGAGTTACAGCGAGGTTCATCCTTGCCTGAAGACCTTCAATCCCTCCAGGTGGGCCTCGGGAATGAGAGCCTTCCCGCAGTAGTCCCCTGTGTACCTTGCAGACACTCCAGCACACTTGCCAACATTAGGGCCCTCAGTGTAGAGGGCCACACAAGCCCTCATGTCTCTAGGGAGGCGGAACACAGGCCCTACATCAGCATGTTTCAATCTCACTACTTGAGACATGTAAGCCACAGCATGTTCTGATCTCCTCCTGTACAGTTGGCGCAATTGAGCTATCTACAAACTCAATATGAATCCTGAGCTCTTTCCTCTGTGTGTGTGTGATGTCGCCTGTGATCTCGCCGCCAGAGATATCATCAGCAACAGAATAAAAGGTACTTCCATCTCTGGGCACTACGCAGGGAGTTGTGTCTACAATTAGCATATCTGCCACGATTTCGGGACATGAATGAGGTCTTTGTCCTTAGCAACATCCAATCAGCTTCTCTCACCACTAACTCATAGCAAAAAAAGAAAAAAAAAAAGAAAAAAAAAATGCGTCTGGCCGACTACTACTACAGACAACTGACCAATACTCGTGAAGTGATCAAGGACGATGCTGTTTCCAAGACGGACTTTATGACATGTGCGTCTATAGGCTTACGACAAGGCCTTCCAAGAGAACAGAGTGGTGTGGGTACAATACTTACAGCTTAGGTAACGCGAGAGTCTCCTGCTACACGCCGCCATCGCCAGAGAGGAGTCAGAGAGGGAGATGACGGCCGTAACTCAGACCTCGGCGAAATGTTGCACGTCTCTGCGGCGCTGATTTCGCTGCACACGGGTAGATGGCGTTTGGCCCTGCTGGTCCTCGCACATTTATCTCTTCTACTTCTTCTCTCTCTTTTTCTTTCTCTCTCTCTCTCTCTGTGTCTTTGGATAAGGCTCTTTTCAGTCTTGTGCTCTCCCTTGCCTACAGATTTATTTTTTTCTCCATTCTTATTTCAACCGTGTTTCATCGCAGCCTCTTAAGAAAAAAAAAAAAAAAACGATAATCAGGACTGATTAAATAACCTCTAATGAAGACATTTCATTATTCAATTTCCAGAAATACTTGGCATTATCCCCGGTATATTTCCAATATTCGTGAGATTTCTTCCTTCATTAATAGGTTTTTAGACTAATCGTATCTATATTCCCTGGGTCTTGTTTCCTGGAGTCCTCCATCGGTAGTCTCAAGGTTTTCTTTTATTATTTCTTGTTATGTTCTCTGTTCCATATGATATATTACTATTATTATTCATGAGACGATTCCTCGTTTTTATTGCGCTTCTCACTCGTCACTTGTTCCCGTTTCTAGAGAGTAAACAAACCAAATGTTGCGCCACCACACATAGACTATGCAAAGTCTAAAACCCTATAAAAGAAGAAAGAAGAAAGAAGAAGGCAATACCTGGGAGGAAAGACCAAGAAAGTATTATCTAGACTCTTCAGCAGTGACAGGTCAACACGATGTCAAGTGCCAAGGAGGTCACGAGTCAGGAGAGAGAAGTGACAGAAGAGAATGAGAACATCATCTTCAGTGGCGAGAATGTGACGGATTTGTGTCTCCAGGACCAAGGGACAGAGGACAGTCTTCCCCTCCTGAAGAAGGTGAGCAGGAGGTGGAAGGCCCTACCCGCGCAGGAGATGACGTTACCATAAAGGACCCCAAGCTGAAGCAGGGGTATCTGGGGGACTTGAGGAAGAAGTCAGTCATTGAGCTGGAAAGATGTGCTCAGAAGGCAGGATACCATTCTCAGCAATAAGTAAGTGAAAGTCAGTCGGTATTCACAAAGGGTCATACAATTTGAAACATGTTTGTAACAGAAAAAATCTTTGACTCCACAATTTGGCTTAACTATTTATGAGTCAGACTGTAGAGTATTTTTCTTGCACAGCGAATCCATAGGCACACACAGAGAGTTTTTGAATTGACGTTGTTTTCACTAGGTGCTTGTTGCTAGGCTTGTTTGCTGCGCGTTACTGAATTGGTCTATTCTAAACATGTACTCAGTTTGGTATGACTCCTCACAAAATGTCTATGCAGAGTTTACATTTACAGTTTACAGAGTTTTGTTCTTTTATTGGTAGTAGAACAGATGTGAATTAGTATGTTGAGACATTAGGCAAGCCTCATATTTCATGGTCCTTACTACTCAGAATGGAAAGTATGGCACTTTTCGACAAGATTTCGGGTGTGCATGAAAAAAATTTGAAGTGTGCAGTGTGCAACGGTTACCAAGTGTCCATTTCAAGAGTGCACATCCTGAAACTTTTCAGATAACAAAATGCTTGAAAGTCCTGTAATCTGAGTAAATTCCTCATTCCATAATGATGTTACATTTTTATATTGATCATAGACTACTGTAAATCATTCAGGTGTGCAACCAGGAACTCAAACAAAAATCTTTGGTGCACAACTGGTATTGATGTAAAGCCTGTTATATAGAAGTTATGTAGAGAAAATGATGGTAATTCTTCAAAATATGGACACCTCACCAGAGAGCAAGTCCCCAACTCCATGTCACAATATTTACAACAATTTAAGTTGCTGTGAGTGGGTGTGCCCTTTGGACACTGCCCATGGGGAAGGTTGATGTTAGGGTCCACCCCAAATACCTGTTGGCAAACATTATCTTCTCATCGCTATGCATGGCAAAATAGAGTTGAAACAGAGGGGCACTAAGTAGTTTTAGCCTTTCAGCGACACTTTCTGCAGTCTTTTTCCTATATAAATGGCATTACTATTCATGTCTGCAGATCATTTCTTAGGAAGATGGCTGCAACTTTTTTCCACTTTAATTATATTAACTTTTTTCCACTTTCATTATATGATCTTCAACTTGCCAAAGCTTAGTGTGTCTGTACCATAAAGTTTAATTAAAATGATATTTTTCAGAACACTGCTGGCTAACCTTCCAGACAGGGGTGAACGCCTTAGAGGAAAGAGAAATGAAGTTGCTAAGGCTCTTGGAGGAAGTGAAAGAAAGGGAGTGGAATTTGAGAACTGCATATCTTCCTGTTGATGTGCAAGCACTAGGTTTGTATAACTTTACTAATAGGTCTTACAGAAAAAGAATTTATTGTTACAGATATATCCTTTTTAAATTATGATTATTACTATAGATATTATGTTTTGAGGAAACCCATTTCCTTTACTGATTAAATATTACAGAATGGAGAGGCATCAATTGCAATGAAAGTCAGAGAGTTACAACCTCTAAACAGCAAAAAAGATGATGAAATTGATAGTGATGATTGAAAAATTTAGACCTCTGGAGCTCATGGCTCAGCACTCTTCTTGCATCAAGAAAAAAAATCACAGAAAGTCCTGGTAAGTTCATCAGGACAGTTATGTTTGCATTTATGTGTAGAAAGGTAGTTCAAGGATAATGAGAAGGAGAATACTGGAAATATATGTTTTAATTCTGTCATGGATGACATGAAATACATGGCATGTCTATGTATGTAATTTTAGTCAATTGAGTTTACACATAGATGGCTCCACTAGTACTTAGTCACCAATGAGTCAGTTACTGTTCATATCTATCTCACCTGTTTACCCTTTTCCTTGATTTTCAGAAAGATTTTAAAGTTGTTACTAAGTATTTAATATATATCCATCTGTTTATTACAAAATTCACACAAAAACTGTAATCAGTGGACCAAGATTAGATACTTTTTATGTTGTGAAAGAATAGTCAGTGTTAGAATGTTCTGTTATTTGTGTTTACAACTCTTTTGAAATAACACTTAATTAAATGTTGCATATTGCTGGATTAAAATCCTTTTTTCCCTTTAGCTGCTTTCCCTCTTTCTTCTTGCTCTTTTCTCACTTCTTGCTTCTCCATTGCCATCTATTCTCCTCTCTCTTTTATTTTAATAAATTATTTAATATAAATACCTAGGTCTGAAGAGGAAGATCCAGCAGATGTTATATCCCGCGAACTGAAGCAGATGGAACTGAGAGATGCACTAGAGTCTGCAAACAATGAAAAAGAAAAAAACAATGAAGGGAGAGGTGAAAGCTCTACACATAGAAAACACTTAGGAAATGAAGAGGAGGGTATTCAGAATCAAGTCCCTAGCCATTCTGCACTTGATTTTGGTACAAAACGTATTCAGATGGTGGAGTTACGACGGTTAAGAAATGGTGAAATCAGAGAGCCTTTCAAACCATATAGGTATGATTGACAGTGTTTTAAGTCAGTATTTCATGTATATAACTTATGTTTTTTACTTGAAAGCTTAGATATGTGATGAAAGGTAATAATTAGCTTCTAATGAGAAATTAGATAATTAAGTATTCAGTACTTTTTAAAGTGTGCTAGTTCTGTTAGTAATGTATAATATGACAGTTCACCATAATATATATATCTCACTTTGAAGAATGCAGGTTTTATTTTTGAACTATTTGTTATACTATCCATGATCTACTTTTTCAGACGACTTGAACATCCCCAGCCTATTCCTGGTCTGCAACAAATAATAGATAGTCATCGACCAAAGTCAGATCGCCAAGCCAAAATGATATCACTACAAGAGTCTATAACCCTAGAACGTAGCTATCTCTCCAAAATGAAGGTAAGTGATCACAAGTGTTTGATGGCTATGAATATTTTGAAACATTTTTTTTAATCCTTCCACATTTTCATTATCTTCAGTTGTTACTCTTATAGTCTGAAAATACTAAATTTACTAATGAAAATGATTGCATTCATTTGTTTTATAGATGTTTTTTTTTTTCTTTTTTTTTAAGGAGAGAGAGCTGAAAAAGACAGTGGAAGCACTTGCACAGATGAAAAGATGCAAAAATGGAAATTGGATTACCTCCCAAAGCATCATCGTTGAAGTACAGGGATGTCAATGTTGGAAAGCATCTCTTGGATTCAGATGAAGAGGATATTTGTTACTTACCTGCTCATGCAGATGATTATGATGATGATGAAGAAGAATTTTATGGAGGTTGATTGTTAACATTTTCAAGATTAAAATGTGTACCACAAGTGGACTGCATGATTAATCCTTTGGCTCTGGGCTCTGTGCACCCACTCACCTTTTCACAAGTGAGCTTATTTTTAAAATTTGAATTCCCAAGCACACAGAAATTGACTACAGACAAGACAAACATAGATAGTATGTTTTACCGATTACTGCCTTTGTAGGTGTCATAGTTTAGGGTGCAAAGTATTGCGTAAGGGAAGCAGGTACACAGTTATAGCCAGGATTGGTAGAAGTGGAAGTCAAACAACGCATGTTTACACCTAGATGCTAGATGGGCAAGGCTAAGGGTGTCTATGGAAAACATTAATTTTGGATATATGAAAAATATAATAATGGTTAATGGTTAATGGTTTAGATAAATGTGCTAGACATCTAAGGTCATATAGCACTATAGGAAAGTATAGTAAAGGGGATGTCAGGTGATAGTTGTTATGTGTCAACTATCTAGAATAGTGTTGAGAGGTTGAAGATGAGGGAAAAGATTATGGTGGTTTAGGTAAGGGAGTTAGATCAAGTGAAGGATATTTATGTGTCTGAGGAAGGAGAACAGGTTGTCGAGGCAGAAGCTGTGAGATTCTGTAAGGATGTCTGATATGTTGGGAGGTCGGTGAAGGGAGGATAGGTGTGGAAAAGCAGAGGTACGTGCTGTATTAAAGCGTGGACAGGACAAGAGAATGTGTGGGACTGAAAGAGGGATGTTACATAGAGGACATAGGGGCGGGTCTGAGCGTGACATCAGATAGGCATGTGTTAGGCGAGTGTGGCCAATACGTAATCGTGCGAGGGCAGTCTCCCAACGTCTGTTTTTGTGAAATGGAGCTGACCAAGAGGAGATTGATGGTTTTACGGTATGTAATTTATTGTTGTGGAGTCTTGACCAAAAAGATTGCCATCGGGTATACAAGAAAGTCTTAAAGTGGGGGTAGTAATCTGTAGCTGGAATATGTGAGAAGCGTTGTTGAGGTGATGTGGACATTGCGGCATATCGTGCAAGAGTATCTGCCTGTTCATTGCCAGGGATTCCAACATGGCTGGGTACCCAGCAAAATCTGACAGATTTGTGACGTGTGGATAGATAGAACAACCAGTTCTGGATCTTACAGACAAGGGGATTGGTCGAGTGCATTGACTTTATGAGGGTTAAAGAATTACGGGAGTCAGTAAAAATAGTAAAAGAGGAAGAGGTGGATGAATATATGCGTCTTAAGGCAAAAAGGAGTGCATATAGTTCTGTAGTAAGGACACTAGATTCAGGAGGGAGGGTGTATTTGAAAGTGCAATTTGGGAATGTTACTGCGAATCCAGCTCCTGAGATGGATTTGGAACCGTCAGTGTAAACATGAATGCTGGAGGAATGAATGGAGACATGGTCAAGGAAATGAGCGAGAAGGATAGAGGGGGGAATATCTGATTTTGGTGGGTCAGGGAAAACTGAGGAGCAAATACAGGGGTTAGGTATAAGCCATGGAGGAATGGAATGGACAGACAGTGGGAGAGGTCGGAGATGAGGGAAGGGGGAATGGGAGAGGAGGGTATCCATGCGTACGGGGAGAGGAGTTGGTAAACGTGGAGAAGAGGTAAAGGTATGAAGTAAGGATTGTGGAATAGTTAGTTTGGTAAGGGAAAATTGGTGAAATCGAGCATAGCATCGGAGAGAGAGAAGGGCTCGACGTCGAGAGAGGGACGGCATGCCTGATTCAGTATATAGGCTCTCAACTGGAGAGGAGCGGAAGGCGCCTAGGGCTAAGCGGAGACCGCTGTGGTGGACTGTATCAAGGTGAGCAAGAAGAGAGGTTGAGGCAGAGGAGTAGATATGGCATCCATAATCTAGAGTGGAGAGAATCAAAGTAACATGAAGATGGAGGAGAGTTTTGCGATCTGAGCCCCAGGAGATATGTGAAAGCGTTTGTAAGATTCGGAGGCGACGTTGAGCTTTTTCTTTGATATACAAGATATGGTCTCGCCAGGACAATTTGGAATCAAATATAACGCCTAGGAATTTGCCAGAAGACCGGTATTGGAGTGGAGCATTATATAAGAAGAGTGGGGGTTTGGGGACCGTACGTAAGCGAGAGAAAAGGATGGGGAAAGATTTAGAGGTAGAGAAGCGAAAGCCATGGTTGGTGGCCCAAGAAGTTACTGATGTTATTGCAGACTGAAGGAATTGACAGAGATCTGGTATGGATGTGCCAGATGCATAGATGGTTAAGTCATCAACATATAGTGATGCTCTGGCTCCTGGTGGTAGGACTGCATAGCAAGAAGGAATAAAGTGGTACTAAGCACACTTCCTTGTGGGACGCCTTCGAATTGAGGAAAGGATGATGAAGTGGAAGAGGCAATCTTGACCTGGAAAGTACGTTTAGAAAGGAAGGATTTAATGAAAACACCCATGTTTCCACGTAAACCTAGGGAGGACAATTGTTGGAGGATATGGTATCGCCATGTGGTGTCATATGCTTTTTCTAGATCAAAGAAAATGGCTAATACGGATTCATGGCGTGCAAATGCCGATGTAATGTATGTCTCGAAATGGGCAAGTGGGTCTGCTGTACTTCGGGCACGTCGGAAACCAAACTGGGAAGGGGAAAGGAGATTATGAGATTCTAGGTACCACATTAAACGGAAGTTAACCATTCGTTCTAGTAGTTTGCACAAGCAGCTAGTTAGAGCTATGGGGCGGTAATCTTGGGGTAGGGTACCTGATTTATTGGGTTTTAAGAAAGGTAGGATGAGAGCATCTCGCCAATGAGAAGGAAAATTTCCTGACGTCCATATGTGGTTGAAAATAGTTAAAAGGAAGGATAGAGAGGAAGATGGGAGGTGTCGGAGCATACGATAGTGAATACCATCAGGGCCTTCATGAGTGTTGCGGCACGACTGTAATGCAGCGTTGAGTTCAGAAGAAGAAAAAGGAGCATTATAGGACTCATCAGAGGATAGGGTGAAGGTAATAGGGGTGCGTTCCTTGATGGTTTTAATGGAAGAAAAGTGTGGGGAAAGGTGAGAGCCACTACTGACCTGGCTGAAATAGTTGCCCAGTTCATTAGCTACTTCTACAGGCTCAGAGATGAGAATATCTCGAATATGGAGGACGGGTGCAGGATGGGGGGGATGTTTGCCTGATAGTTTATGGATCCGTCGCCAAACAGCTGAAATAGATGTAGAAGATGTAATTGAGGAAACATAATTTTGCCAGCTATTTGTTTTGCTGTTTTAATTGTACGGCGAAGATGGGCAGATGCTCTTTTAAAGGAAATAAGGGCTGATAGCTGGTGAGGGGTGCCTCGTTTGTAGCGATAGCTGTTCCAGGCTGCTCGTTTTAAGCGGAGCGCTTTGGAGCAATCAGAATTCCACCATGGAACACATTTAGAAGTATAGGGTCTTGAAGTTCGAGGAATGGCTGTATAGGCAGCTCTTAGGATCGTGTTGTAAAACAATGTAGCATATCTGAAATGGACGTAAGGGGGGTGGAGGGATAGGTATAGTAGAGAGTGAAGTGAAAGTATGCCAGTCAGCTCTATCAAAGCACCAGCGTGGAGGATTAGGAAGTGGTACATATGAAGTAGGAGAAAGGAGTATTGGGAAGTGGTCACTATAGGGGAAGTGGTCTAGAACTGACCAATGGAAATCTAGATGTAAAGTAGGAGAGCATAGAGAGAGGTCAAGGCATGAAAAGGATTGTGTGCGCATGTCAAAGTGTGTGGGGCGATCTGAATTAAGAATAATTAGGTTATTTGTGAAGAGGAAGCGTTCTAGAGATCGGCCTCGGGAGTTGGTGGTAGAGTCACCCCACAGAGTGTGGCGGCAGTTGAAATCACCAACTATGAGGAAAGGTGGTTGGAGTTGGGAAATTAGAGTCTCAAAGGCAGTAAAGTCAATGGGATGGGATGGGGAGAAGTAGACTGAAATCACTGTGATCCAGCGGCGAAGAAAGATGCGAATAGCTGTGCACGGGACAGAAGTTTGTATGGGAGGTATGACATAAGGTGTTTTATGATGGATAAGTATAGACGAGACATAAAGGGAGTGTGGGGAAGAGATAAAATGGTAATTGGAATTGGAATAGGAGGGTGTGTGAGGAAAGTCTCTTGGAGGCAGATAATAGATGGATTATAAGAAGCAAGGATATGACGTAGGTCTGATCTATGAGAGCGGAAACCGCGAATATTCCAATGTAGGAGAGCTATATCCTAGTTGATTTATGAATGATAACACATTACGTGTTGGGGAATTTGAAGGGGAAGGAGCTAGGGGGTGTAAAGGAGGGATATTAGGAGGTAGGGAGTCTGGAGAAGGGCATTGTTGTGCCATGAGTGATTCTCGTGTGTATCCGGAGGGAGTGCAAAGGATAGAGGGGATGGAGGGAGGGAGAATGTGCCTATAGTTGGGGTTGAAGGGGGTGGGTTGTGTTGGGAGGGAGTAGATGTGTGGGGAGTATTAGTGTTAGGAGGATGAATATCAGAAGGATGGATAGTTGGAGTTGAAGGGGATGTGTTGTCTTGGGAGGGATTAGGAGGAAAGGGTGTAGGGGTGCTGTGAGTAAGAGGGGGATGCATATCAGGAGGATGGGTATTGGGAGGATGGATATCAGTGGTGGTTGGGATTGAGGGGGTTAGGTTGTGTTGGAGGGAGTAGGAGGAAGGGGTGTAGGGGGAATATTAGTAGGAGGGTATGAATATCGGCAACCACTTCAAGTGTGGAAGGAGCATGAGTTATGGGATTTGTGTCTCAAGCATATAGCTTTGAATGTCATCCATTGTTTCTGCAGTGGAGTTTGTTGGAGAGTTTTGTGAGAAGGTAATTGTTTCTGCAATGGAATTGGTTGGAGAGTTTTGTGGAATAAAGGTTTTCTTATGAGGGGGGGAAGAGGAGACTGGTGTCTCAGGAACAAAGGTATAGGTAGGTGGAGGTGATTGTGCTGTAGGGGAAGAAGGGTTAGAACGTTTAGTCTGTCTACTGCGGGTAGTGCGGGGAGGGAGAGGGGTTGGTGTTGGGGCTG